TGTGTGCTTTCCCCCATTGCTCCTCCCATTCGGCAAATAGAAAACTTAGAAAAACTGAAAGGCAAAGTATGCGTAGAGTTATAAAACAAAAGCCGAATATTGTACAGTATATATACAACACACACCCAGTGGATTCGGAGATGAGCGAGTTCTATTTAAAGATTGACTACTGGCAGGAAAAGCGACGGCGACAACGACATTTTCACGCGGCTGACTGGCCGGGGAAAAATTCAACGCACCTCAAATGAAAATGTATCTAGGCATCCACAAGATGCTGTGCCTGTGTGCGCTTGACAAGTTTTCTCTGGCGAGAAGCTCGATGGGAAAAAATCACAATCTGCTGCTTGCTCGAAAATTGAGCACACGCCATGCGAAATAATAATAAAGCAATGTGAATTCCGCCCAGAGAACGAAATTTGTTAAAAATAAATTTCAAAATTCTAGAGGGAAAATTATGAAATAAACTAGACCAGAGAGCCGGGCAAAAATCAAGCGAATTCAGGAGTTAACTGGGTCTATTATACTCAGATAAAAGTGAATGATCAGAACGGCCTTCGTTAAAACTAAATGTCTATTTTTTCCCAGGGTCCACAACGCGATTAGTTATGCATAATTTGGCAGTAATCCCAAAGTTACTTTATGATTGAGTTATAAACGCATTCCCTTCTTGATATTGCAAAATTTTCTAAAAGTTTTAACGTTTTAAATGCTTCTTAAGTGAATTTAATATTAATGGTACACTAAAATAACATTTTGTTAAGCAGCTGAAAAATCAAATATATTCTGTAAATAACCTTTCTTGAGTTAGTATCCCCAGTTAGATTTGAATAAATTTCCAAAATTACTGAAACCTAGAAAACCTTTTGTTTAACTCCACCAAATAAAAACATTTCCTGGGAGAAAACCTGCCTGAAAAACAGCTTCTAATACCGATTCACAGTGACATTTGGGCGAGGAATTTGTGTTTCCAAGTTTAATGACCAACACACGAGCAAGATGGTCGCATCCCAAAAAAGACCTCAAATACCAACGAACTTTAGAAATCAGACCCAAATGCCAACTCACACGGATATACATAGAAATCAATAGCAGCGTTTCTACAGCTCTGGCTGAGATTACAGCATTTTTAGCCGCCGAACCACTCTGGAGATCTTGGAATGCGCCCGTCGAAGTCGAAGTTAAGTGAAGTGAAGGCATCTAAACCCGTTTTGGGTCAGCTTTTACACGTTGTTTGGGCCGCTTTATTGACATTTCGCCGCATCGAACGCAACAAAAACAACAAACAACAATAAATATAATAATACAACAACTACAACACAACTTTCACTTGTACGCATCGGCGGAAAGATGAAAAACATTCAAAAATCCAACGAACGCATCTCATGAATGGGAAAAATAAAAATCATCGAACCTGGGATTGGCTTAAACCTGCGACAGGTGTCAGACAGTCTTCACATCTTCTGGGTGATTTACCAAAGGGAAATCTTTGTGGGAGGGCCCTTACAACTTTTAGGGCACAACAATTTATTGTAACTTTTAAAAAAGTTTATTACAATTAATGATTTGCTTTTGAGGTGTAACCACTTTTAAGGCTTTTCAAACTTCTGAAAATTTTGTTTATAGTTTTTATGTTAAATATTAAAAAAAAATTATTTTATAATCATATGGAAGTACTTAAATAAGAAAGAAATTGTAACGTACAATTCTGTAAAATTTAATTATTTTAAAAGTTGTTTAATAACAAATCTCTTTATCTCTTTTATCTAAGTTTAAACGAATATTTCGTATCCAAACAGGTTTGCCCATGGTGATTATTAACTTGCGTGTGCACTGATTTTCTTTTTGGATTATAAAAACTAGACTGCATCTGCTAGAAATTTATTGGAAACGCTTGAGATCTGTCCTGGAAATGGTGCAAGTGGGGGTGACCCAGCTGGATAACTAGGGCAGGGACACGGTTCCGGCTGGAAGGTTTCTGTTAACGGCGATTGGGGGTGGTGCATAGTACGGGGGTGGGTTTCATGACCTTCCCACCTTGCGTGGGCGTTGCAATTTGCATCGCGACTCCAACTCACCTTCTCCTTGGCACGTCCAGCGTGTTTTTGAACAGATTTGGCCAGCATGATGCCTCTATTCTCGGACATTCAGTGTGAACGAGGGATTTGGTATTAACTTGAATATCTGTATATTCCTTCTATAGTTGCACTTGGGCTGCCGCTGCCTCCTACTTTTAACTGGCACAACTGGAAAAAGCACAGTCCTCCGTTTGCGGGAAACTTTAAATGCACGATAAACAACCGAGTGCTGTGTTTACGTTTCGAACAAACTAAACAATATCGATGCGAAATCGGCCCCACACACTTGTTAACGAGATTATATTATATAGGCGGCCCCCGATTTTTGGCAATGCGAAGCGACTTTTACGGGCGCGTCGAACTCACTCGGAATATTCAAAACAAATGGCACAAGTCGACGGACGAGCGGAGAAGAAAAGGCGACGAATGTGGAAGACGACAGTGATAAACGAGAGAACGCGAGTTAGTGATGTAAAAAAACATCGATGCATCGAGCATCGATGATTTGTGGGCGATGTTTTTCGATGTTTTGTTTCATACCGATGCTTATCGATGCATCGATGTTTGACAAAACATCGGGCGTCGAGTTTCACAACATTGCACAACAAATGGTTTCAGTGCCGCACGGACAAATTCCCGGGTTTTGCTTTAATTTACCCTGTCTTCGCAATGCCGAAATAAGTAGATTGTGAGAAATATATATATATAGTTATTTGCAATTACAAATGTATCTATTCCAGAATAACAACAAAGACAAGCTTTTGCTGGAGGCACTTCACTAAAATTGCAACATTTGACCACTGGACTACAAAAAAATCATGAATTGATATAGTTTTAAGTTCTGTTTATTATATTCTTAAATAAGCCACTTAATGAAAAAAGAAAAAACTTAAGTTCTGTTTATTATATTCTTAAATAAGCCACTTAATGAAAAAAGAAAAAACTTAGAAAACATTTATTTATTAGCTTCAATTCCTTTTTAATTAATTTATCAAAAAATCTCAATAACAAATTTAAAAGGCTTTTAATTAACGAAAAATAACGGAATGGGTTGAATACATCGATGCATCGATGTTTCACACAACATCGATTTGTCATTTTAAAACATTGACCCAAACTTACATCACTAGCGCCAGTTCAGCTGCGGCACAGGAGTGCAGTGTGGCTGTGCACCTGAAATACTGCCATACCCTAAAAGAGCCAGGGTGGTAACTTGGGTAGGCAGCAGAGTTTCACACACATTGCTTAATTAGCGATTAAAATAAGCCATAATTAATAAATATGATGTAAATTTCACTAATCTTTTAAGGCGAATGAAAAAGAATGCTTAAAGTAAGATTTAACACACGTGTAAATTAAAAGACGCTAGTTTCTTTGTTGTTTTTCATCTTCTCCTGTTTATATTTTGTTGAAAATTTTCATATAAATATATAAATATATAAATAGTGAAAATGTTTTGAGTACGGGGTTTGAAAGATAAGGAGTGGCACTTTTCAAATGCTTTGACGAACGAACAAATACGAACTAACAAACCAAGAATGCGTTCGTCTGTAATTGCACTCAAAATAAAATGAACCCTAAAGTAAAGGATATCGCCCTACTTATACCCGTTACTCGTAGAGAAAAAGGGTATACTAGATTCGTAGGAAAGTATGTAACAGGCAGAAGGAAGCATTTCCGACCCCATAAAGTATATATATTCTTGATCAGGATCACTAGCCGAATCGATCTAGCCGTGTCCGTCTATCCGTCCGTCCGTTGGCGTGCAGATTCCTGAGCTTCTTACGCAGCGCAAGTTTGTTTCAGCAATGTGCCACGCCCACTCTAACGACCACAAAGCGCCCAAAACTGTGGCTCCTACAGTTTTGATGCTAGAATAAAAACTGAAATGTATTGTCCTCATCAATACCTATCTATTAACCCAAAAAAAGTTTTCAACGCCCACTTAAACGCCCACAAACTTTAAAAAAATTGTTAGTATGAACGCGGATATCTCAGAAACTATAGAAGATAGAAAATTGGGATTTCAGATTCCGATTGGGACTAGATTCCGTAGCCTTGTATGCAGTGCATGTTTGTCACGCCCAAATCTGTGGTGCTCACAATTTTTGTGTTAGATACAAAATTTTAACTGAAATGTATTAGTCTTGTTAATACCTATCGATGGACCCAAAAAAAAGTTTGCCACGCCCACTCTAACGCCCACAAACCGCCTAAGCCTGTGGCGCCCACATAACCATATATTGAAATCGCGATTTTTTTACGATTTTTTCTTAATTTTAAAGTAACTTTTCGAAATTTTGGGGAAACAATTTTTTTTAAATAGAAAACAACTTCTTGGATGAGGAAAGACTTTTCTAAAGAGTAAAAACATTTTCTAAAAAAAAAGATTACAGAAATGCTTTTGAGTTTTATTTTATTTGAAATTTGAAAAAGAGTATCGGGTATCTTGTTCTCACCCCTTCACATGGTTGATTAAAGTGTGCAAAAAATGTATTTAAAAATTATAACTTTTTCGGTTGAGTTTTAGACCTTGCAAAACGTCATCAAAGTTTATTTAAAAATTACTCGTACGACATGTATACCAGCCATAACTTTTATCAAAAATTGTAGAGCGTCCTATTGTCACCATATACTTACACCGTCTTGTCTGAAACGAAAACAAATCAATAAATAATCTTATTTATAAACAGAGAATGGGGCGGACCCTACTAAATTTGCAGTAGTATCATACATATGTGTTCATGTATGTATTGTTTAAAATCGAACATACAATTCATTCCATTTCTTAATGTATTGTACTGTTTGGAATGTATTGTTTAGCGAAATTTATTAAAAGTACTCGATGAACTTCACCACGACGTCGATTGGCGCAGCAGAGACATCGGCCTGTTCAACACTATATAAGATCATCCACGCACAACACAAATTCGATACGGATCTGATTCGGTTTATATCATAATTACCACACCCCGAAAATTAACAAAAATGATGCAAATCAAGTTTCTATTCACTTTCGTCGCTGTCCTGATGCTGGTGGTCCTAGGAGGCAAAGAGGCCGATGCTGTCGACTGTCTTTCTGGAAGATATGGAGGTCCTTGCGCCGTCTGGGACAATGAGACCTGCAGAAGAATTTGCAGGGAAGAAGGACGAGTCAGTGGACACTGCAGTGCCAGACTTCAGTGCTGGTGCGAAGGATGCTGAGTTGAAATTTAAATTTGCGTTACTAACAACAAAATAAATTTAAATATTTGCAAGCAAATCGTTAATTGACCTATTTTTTATGTCTTTCCTCGAAAATTATCTATATTTTCAATAGATACTTGGTTGTTTTTTTTAAAAAAGTTAGAGTCGTGTAGGGTAATCTCAGACCTTTTTAATAAGGTCCCATTCCTGAAACAAGCATGGGACTAGAGATGATTAGCTGGTATTGAAATTTTAAAAATTTAAAATGGATGTAAAATCTCTGTCAAAGTAAAATTATATTTACACTCGTTTTGCTGAACTTAAGCACGATAATGTTAGTGGCTGCAACATGTACAGATTCCGGGCTACATAAATTCTACTGTTCAGTTGTCGATTATCAATACGATGCGGATCCAATTATACCCGTTACTCGTAGAGTAAAAGGGTATACTAGATTCGTCGGAAAGTATATAACAGGCAGAAGGAAGCGTTTCCGACGCCATAAAGCATACATATTCTTGATCAGGATTACTAGCCGAGTCGATCTAGCCATGTCCGTCTGTCCGGATGAACGCCGAGATCTCGGAAACTATGCTAGCTAGGCTATTGAGATTTGGCGTGCAGATTCCTGAGCGCAGCGCAAGTTTGTTTCAGCAGAGTGCCACGCCCACTCTAACGCCTACAAACCGACCAAGCCTGTGACGTCCACAACTTTCATGCTAGATACAAAATTTTAACTGAAATGTATTGGTCTCGTCAATACCTATCGATTGATCCAAAAAAATTTGCCACGCCCACTCTAACGCCCATAACGCTTGAATCTGTCTACCGCCGGTAGGTGGCGCATTTTAATCTCGCTTTGCTGCTTGCATATCTCCATTTTTCTTTGGTCCCTTCAGCTGAGTAACGGGTATCTGATAGTCGAGGAACTCTACTATAGCGTTCTTCCTTGTTTCGTTTTAACTTATTTATTTAGTTGGCTAACAATTATCTGCTAGCATATGCTTAACTGTGGATAAAATAGGATAAAATTAATAAGTATCTATTGATTCAATATGTCTTAATCGGAAGAGTTTAGAGTTTACATCAGAATATTCCCAAATTTGCTTTTTAATAAAAATGTTGAGAAACATGTACTGTTTTATTCAGTTTATTCCGGTATTATATTAACAAAGCCCCAAAGTCTGTTATCCCCGGATAGGTTAATTTTGTTGAATTTCTTGTGATAAATTTCACCACGACGTCGTTTCTGGCCCTATATAAATTAATCCGCGAGTTGTGTAATCGTTACAGATATCAGTTCTCTCAAAACGTAAAGTTTTCCAAAATCGTACTAAAAATGATGCAAATCAAGATCTTTTTTACCCTCTTCGCTGTCCTGATGTTGATTGTTTTGGGGGCCAATAACTGCGATGCCGACTGCCTCTCCGGAAGATATAGGGGCTCTTGTCTCGTGTGGAACATGAAAAAGTGTAGAGATACTTGCAGGCAAGAAGGACGAACCGGAGGACATTGCAGCACGAGTCTAAAATGTTGGTGCGAAGGATGCTAAATTGGATACCAACTAGAAAATTAAGACAAAATTTCAAAAATTTCGTTATATACTTAAATAAATATGTATAAACGTATTAAGTTTTGTTTTTTCAGGTTATTTATATCAACTCATTTTGCTTAACTATGCTTCTATTTTAGTAATATTTGTGTCTTTTTATCCCCGACACGCTTAACCTTGGTTTCAATGGGATGATCTCAATTTCGGATAATAAAAGTCTATTCGTATTTTACTGAATGCGTGTTTACAGATTATACACAATAAAAGATTAAAATGTTGACTTTTGAAAGGAAGTCAATAACAATGTGAAGAAGGTTTGATCAGCAGTTAAGATTGATCAGCAGCTGCAGCTGATGTGGGATTGATACCTTAAATTTTAGTGTAAACATCACGACCTATTTTTGAACTGATATATTTTTTAGTAAATTAAACGATCAGGTAGCGCGTGCTTTAGAGTTCATAAAAATATGGATAACATTTTTTTAAAAAGATCCTTTGCATAACCTGGATAAAGATAGCCCACTTATGAATGTGGTATATTTATTTTAAAATGAACAACTTTTACATTATTTGCTCTATTTGAAATTCGCGCCTTCTCGGCGTTGCCCCCACCCACTAGTATCCCGGCAGGCCCCAAAACATGACCCACTGACCTAGGACTTGGAGCTGGTGTTGGGGTTCGTGGCCGACCAGCTCCTGAACGTAGCTTGATCAAATTAAGAAAAATGTCGTGGGAGTTTTACTGCCACATGTTGTAAATAATAATTATTATAATAATTAAGCAACGAACTAATTCAACGAAAACCGTCAATATAAAGGATAGTGTACAGAATAATTTATTTGTAAATAGTTTCCCTTGATTTTTCAAGTTCAAAGTAGGTAAAAAGGGGATGCCAGCTAGATTTCTTGACCAGTGTGGAGTTGCCAGCTCGATTTCTAGGACGAATAAACTGGAGGACAAATATCGATAACTTCTTTTTGAAACCGATTTATTCAGATTGACAGCCTGACATGTTTTTTGGTATATTCGATACAATAATAGTCGTATATTTCAGTATTTCAGTATTTTTGTGTTTGAACGTAAGGAAACGTAAGCAAACGTAAGCATCCGTAAGTGTCAGTAAGAAAGCGAGATACAAGATTTATGCTGTTGCTCTCCGAAAGAAAGCGTGAGCGAGAGAGCAGCCGCCGGGAATAGAGATGGAAGCCATCGATGTTGGCTAGCCAAGCATCGATGTTACCGATGCCTTGAAATCATCGATGACGTCGATGTTTCTCCACCTCTACCGGACGGCATAATTGATCGATAATTCCGCGGTTCCACCCCTACCGAGCTGAAATTGTTGTAACTTGGTCATTTTCCACGGCTGTGCGACTAATTGAATTTAATCAACAAAGTCGGAGTAAATAAGTGCAAAGAGCCAGACGCAGCGCGCACCAATCCTGAATATCCAGTGGATCTCGTGGTACAAAATGTAAATTTAAAAAAATTCCTGGCGTGGGGTTGACCATAACGCATACATATACTCATGTGTGCGTGTAGAGTTCCATTATAAACTAAAGCACGAGTGAATTTACGTGCAATAAATTTAAAATAGAAGAAAAGAGTTGTAGGAGTTGCAATAAAAGCAGCGTTAAATCGATTTCGAGTGCATGTGTGTGTGTGCCGAGTGTTCGCATGGGTTTGTTGCAAATGTAAGAAGAAGAAGCAACTCACGCGCTACTCTCTTCCTTTCTCTCCCCCTCCGCCCCGTCCCCTTTAAGCACCATAAGCAGCTGAAAGTTGTAGCCGCAATAAATTCAAAAATTACCAGATATCTGCTAGTTTGCAGTAGTGAGAAATAAACAAAGAGACGAAAACGATAGAACTTCAGTTACTAAAACCAGGTATGTAAAAAATAAAAAGTGCGCGCCCTTGTGTGCGTGTGTGAGTGAGTGGGTGCCCAGAATACGACTCGACTTAACCTCAATTCGCCCCAACTGATTACGCTAGGCGGCAACTGAACCTTCCAGTGGGATTAATCATATTAAAATAATGCATCCATTCTTGCTATTAGTCAAATATTCTCGTGTGAGCTTAGGAATTGGGTTCTTGTCAATGAGCTACTGCTACCGAATTAATTATACTATGCGAATATGAATATTTATGGAAATCGCTCTTATCGCCTCGCTGTATACATAAAAAACAAAGTTCCGCCATCTGTTAGCACGTGTGTGTGTGTGTGTGTTTGTGGTCGAACATTTTTAATTGTCTTTGATTTGATAAAAAAAAAAGAATAAAAATGAGGAGAGCCTGGGAGAGTAAATAAAAATAAGAAAGGTATTGAGAACAGCAACAACAATGACGCAGGCACGCACACAACGAAGGCAATCAAAACACCAAGGTGTGTCTGTGTGTGTGAAAGAGGCAGAGCCAGTTTACCGCGCTCACCTTTTGTTATTGTTGCGTTCATTCGCTTCAGAGCTGCCAACTCTTGAAATTTATCAATTTAGTGGTTAAACCCTTATAAATATTATAAAAAAAATTTTTTCTAAATAAACATGACCCTTCTTGAAAAGCATTTTTGTTTATTTTAAGAAATGGCGACAAATGTAAGTGTTCAAAACATTAAAATGTACAAGTGAACTTACACTCTTATTAATAGGCAGAAGGTATTTAAAACGTTTTTACAAATTAAAAACAGTTGGCAGCTCTGTCTACCCTTTTGGTGCTTGCGAGTGTGTGTGTGTGTTTGTGCACAAGGTGAGCGAGACGGCAGTTTCAGCCTTCAATTTGCGGGTTTACGTTGATTCTAATTAAATAATTCGTTGAAATCGGGCTCACTGCTTTCTGTGAGGTCCGATTGTGATACACACACACATGCATATAGGCAGCGCTTTCCTCGTTTTCCTCAAATTTTCTTTGTGAAGCGCCTCAAGTTTCGACTGGCTTTTTGAGCCTGGTTTTCGTTTTGGCCGTTTGAAAACTTGAAAAACAAGTTACTTCTGAACTCAAACTCTCCCCAGTTTTGGCAGTCGCCGTCTCTACACTCTTCTCTCGATCTCTCCCCAGAAACAAACACTTGCCGCGTCGCCATCCGATTGTTTGCAATTCGCAATTGTCTTTTTGCCAGAGGCCAACGAACAAGTCTTGAACTTGATGGTCGGAACGAAGTTGAAGAGTGTTAGACGTTGAACATTTTTACACAGATTCAGTTTTAACTGCCGCACGACTTGGTCATAATGTTAAAATTACTTTGGTTAATAGCCAAGATGATTGTGGAAATGTAGGCCTTTTTGGAAAGTAAAATTCTCAGCTGAGTTCAGAAACTAGATTGGATTGCAATCTGTAACCTTAAGATTTACTTTTTAATCTGATCAATCGTACTCCTTTCTGTTTAATTTGACTAACCCAATTGTTCGGCATTCGGTTTAATTTGATCAGTACATATAATTTTATACAAAATAGTTATGCCATGTTTAAATATCAAATATTTTACGTTCCTAGTATTCGACCAACATTGCATTTGTAATTTCTTAAACAACAAAAATTAGTCTATCAACAAGAATAAATATAAAGAAAGAGGGATCATTAACAAGTTGAGGTTTTCATTTAATTTTACTTTAAAATTGCTTAAAAATATATCTTCCTCAACAAATTCGACAAACATGAGACTTCAATTTATACAATTTTGTTTTAAAGGTACACATGATTTTACAAAAGGTGAATTTATCACATTAAAAGTCAGGTGACACAGGTGGAACCCAAATATCTGATAATTTGCTGACCACCCACGAAAACCCAACTAATTGGTATGATACTGCCGACTTGGTATGACAGGAGGCACATTAGATTCCATTGCGAATTTAATTCGATCAGCGTTGTATACGGTATTCACTTCAATCTGCAGAATTCCAGGCCACCAATCTGAAATTAGCACAGGGATAATTAGAACATGTGAAAGCACCTGGCGTAATTATCAAACATCAATAACAACCAATGGAAGGGCAAACAAACCTTCGTGCGGCGCCTGGAAGGCGAATAGTTTTCTGCCTCCCTTTTTTCGGTCCGGGGATTTCGGTGCACCTCGGACATGCGCTGCACCCAGTTGATAGTTGCATGTGAACTTTGAACTTTTGAGCTGGAAAGTGGAAGGCGGATTTGCATTTCCTATCGCCGTTGCAGGTGCCTCGAAAAGAGAGAGGCTCTCTCCGCGACCTCTCTTTCGCTTACTCTCGCAACCGCCGCCCCCGCTGCATTTTTCATTGCGCAATGAGCGAGGCGAATCGATAACTGCAAGGTTTCCATGTTTCAGCAGCTCAACTTTTTCGCGTATACAGATTTTTTCGCCCGTTTTATTTTATTTTCATTTTTTCGAAGGAGGTGGGCCGCCGAATTCGCTTCGATTCAAGATGGGAACATGTGTTTTTATGGTTCCGCCATTGTCATGGTGAGATGCACTTTGCTTTTTTTCGTCTTCATATTTATTTTTTACTTCCTCTCTCGCACGCACGCGGCTGTCTGTGTGTGTGTGCTGGCGAGCGAGGCGGTGGAGGAGTACATCGTGAGTGTATAAAGTGTAGCCGTGGCAGAGTTGTAGCTCGCTAGTGGTCCGTTTGGTTTCTGATTTTCGGTTTCGTCGATTTCATTATGTACTGCAATAGTCGGCTAAAGTGCTCTGCCGACGTCGCTTTCCGCTGTATACTCGTTGTTCTTGTGTGGGTGCGCTGCTCTCTCGCTCTGCGGCTCTCTCTGGCAGGAAACAGGGTGTCTCACTCATATGGTCTGATCACCCCTTCAACCACATGGCTGGGCAGGAACGAAACACCCTGTTTCTTCCCAGCAACTTGTTTCCTCTCTTCCTCCAACGTTGTTGTTGCCTTCTGCACTTACGTAAGCTTTCCGCCGCTCGATTCTTATCCAAATTCTAAGCGCCATTTTGCGACGATTTGCATGCGGCGTTGCTCGGCGCAAGTAAAAATAACTGCTGATTGTTATTATTCACTAATAAGCAATGGTGCGTAGAGCATATTTTATGCCCTGCGACTGCAGTGTTTTCAATGCGCGCGACGAAGGTTTTTCAGTTGTTGCGCCGCTGAGTTGCCACCCTGTTTTAGCTGCGGCAGCAACGGAAAATGAATTCCAAAGCAACACTGCGCGCGCGCACTCTCCCGCTCTGCCTCTCTTCCTTTTCAGAGAGCGCACAAGGTCTCTCTCCGTCCCCGCTCTCGCTCTCTCTCTCTGCTGACTCCGACTGACTGGCCGTCGTCGTTTCGCCGTTTCGTTTTAATCGAAAATGTTTGCGGCGGCGTTAAGATGTACGAAAACGTTTTCTCGCCAAAATTGTGTGAATAGAATAGCAGTAGAAATCTACCGAGAAGAAAAATATGCCTTAAGTCGCCCTGTGTGATTCAAAGGTAAAAGTGATCGAAATAAACATAAAAGAAAAACTTAACTCGGGAACGGAGCCCCAGCCAACTAAAAAAAGGTGAAAATTTAGATTTCGGTGTGCCAGTGAGTGCGGAAATAGTAGTTGCAAGTGCAATATACTGCGTAAAACGTGAAAGTTTCCAATAACACCACAATCCAACGGCAGTTTTGTAGTAAATATACATACGCGCCCAGTACATACATACATACATTTCGAATATACACAGCCGAATATCAACCGACGAAGCTTACTGCTTATTGCTTATTGCTGATGTAAGTGTAATAGGGGCGGTGGGCGGTTGGGGGCGTGGAAAGTGCAGAGGGACATTATCCTTCAAGTGCACTTGGTGTGCGGACTCGGATTCAAACAACATTCGTGTTCGTGCCACTGAAAACTTGTGAAAAATACAACATTTTTAGGTTAGGTCAATTTCAATTGGTTTATATACACACGCACACAAACCCATATACAATGGCATAGCGAATACATATAGAAGGCGCACAGACAAAAAGTCGTCGACGGCGACGTGGTTGTTGTTTGTGTTGCTGCTGCTCTGCTGCTGCTGCTTCTCAGCTCACACACACTCGAACGAGGGTGGAGAGGAGAGCCGCACACATACACACGCTTTGAACCATTGCTTTTGGCTTGCTTATGAACTGACTGTATTTTTTCAACGTAGTGTCGTTTTATTTTCGTTCGTTGATTCGTCGTTCTTTGCTCAGTTCGTGCGCTTATCTCGACTTTTGCTTTGATGCGCCATTCGCATGTACTGGCGAGAGCCAGCCAGCCCAGTGTAGTGCGTTGGTGTGAGTGTGCATTTAAATGGCTCCCCAATGAGAGCATCATTTTGTGGCCCTCTTTTTGTTCACATCTTTCTTCCTCTCGCCTCCGCCTCCTGGCTCCCCATCCGTCGTTTGTTGTTCTTGCATTGCCTGTTTTTCATTCGGTTTTGAATTTACACAAAACGTTTGCCGTGCTTCTTCTTGCTGAAATAGTATATATGTAGTATATATTGTACATATTTCTCTACACATCCATATGTTTTATTTGCAAAATTTATTAATAGCGCAGCGCCAGACTGCGAGTGTGTGAGTGTGCCAAAGTGAGAAAGTAATTCAAAAAACTAAATATTATTTCGCGATGAATCCTCTTCGTATTGCAGTTGCTTAAAAATCGAGTGCTGTGTCTAACAATTTTTGCATATTTTCCGCTGCCTGCCTTTTGTGCTGCGTATTCTGTGCTCTGCTGTGTATACACATAACAAAACAGATAAGATAACATTATACGTGTGCACGTAATAGAGCGAGCTGAACAAAAAAAAATGGAGGGAAAATTTGCCCACATGTCTCCCCAAAGCACTCGCACACACACGCACACAACGCCCCAATTTGGAGCCTCTCTCGTCAAACATTCAACACACACAAGCAAATGTGTTTGGTATGCACTAATGGCGGATCCAAAAAGTACAATAACAACAAAGGCTGCTAGAGAGCGCAAAGAGCGAACTTGTTTTACCTTTTTTTTTGAAGGATAGTTGGTGGTGGCAGAAGGAGAGATGGCTAAAGCTTTTGTGCGGCTGTACAGTGCTCCAATATTTGTTTACAAATGCTAAAAGGGGGCAGCTGTTGGTTCGATGGGGTGTTTTAATTAGTTGGAGCAGGATGATCCTCTAGACGGTTTCCATTCACCATATATTTACTCTGCGCAGCTTTTGCGCTCTCTCTTGCTCTCTCTCGATTGCCCGCCAAATGCTCGCTGTGCTTGTGTGCGTGTGTGTGTTTGGCCCCAAACGGGTGAAATGCCTTTTTGAAAAAAATCAGCCATATACTGCGCCTCAACAACAAATGCGGCTCTCTCTCTGGTTCTCTCTTTGTGGCTGCACCACCACCACCGTTGTAGCACCACCACCTTTGCATTGTTGCGTTTGCTGCTGCTGCCTTTTCTTCTTCTTATTCTTGTAAGTTGTAGATACAGAATATGTACCAGCAGTACTCCCTCCCCCAACCCGCCCCCTTGGCGATATCGGTATATAAATATGTTCTCTGTATGTGTTCGAATTCTATGCAAGCCGATGTCGTGCATGGGGCATTTGGCACCTTCCACATCCACGATAAATACACACACGCATTCGAAGGTGTATACAGAAAGCTCGCTTAGGAAGTATTTACTGTACCGCTAGAAGCAATAACAAAGCGCGCGCCCAATTCCGGTTGCACGTACACACACTAAATTGAACTCTCCTCCTTTTGCCTGGAACTTCCACTCGACGATCTCCTTCCCCTCTATATGTACCATTCTCTTGTTATTGCTCCCAGCTCCACCATTCCATTCCATTCCTATTCTCTTCACCTTTCTCTCCTCCCCCGAATCCAATATCCAATACAAAGACATCGTTTTCCACTCTAAAGTTTTTGTGATACGGCTAAAGAAGAAGAATTACTCCGTGTGCTTTTTATTTCACCTTTTCGTTGGAATGTGCAATCGTTTTGAGAAGTCGTCTAGATATAGACCAATTTGATCAATCAGCTGTGCTATATTAGCAAACCTGTTTTGGGGAAATGTGAGAGAATAGTGTTATATTGCCTGGTAAAGTGTTTATCTAGTAAATTTTTAGTAACCATGACCTGTTTAATTCAAATAAATTTAATTTAGTTAATGTTGTGTAGAACATGATCTTGAAACCAACTCAGATTAATGACCTTCCTTTTCATTATTTACAGTGATAACCATAAATAACTCCAAAAGTTACGTGGCAGAGGCGAATCACCGGCGCAGCGACACCACAAGATAACGAGCAGTCTTACCAATTTCTCTACCCTAGCACTCTAGCGCATTTGACGCTTGCGGGGCGACCAAATGCATAGACAACATATGTCGCATCCACGAGCAGTCCAAGACCAAGAGTTGCGACCCCGACCGTTTGTTGCATACTACATACGCTCCTAGAGGGCGGCCACTCACCCAGAGTAGCAAGTGAGTCCTTGCACTTGGGCAGGGATCCAGGGATACACAGAGTGCTCAGCAAGCAGGAGCAACTGTACAAGATTAGAGGCTCCGCCGAGAACCGAGCAACGAAAAAGATGATGAAACGCACCCGTGTCGACGAGGTGCAGTTTGGCACACGACCCGGACCACCGACATCCGGTGGCGTAGGCGTTGGTGTCGTGGGCGTGGCTGGAGGAGGTCCAGCATCTGGCAGCGGTGGCACCGCTACCGTGGGCGTCAATACTACGGGCGTGACCATTGGAACTGTTGTGCCCGGTGCCCACAACCCCACCATAAGTGGAATTGGTTCCATTCACCATCGCATCCTTACCCCACAGCATGGAGGAGCCCAGACCATTGCCTATTTGCCGTCCACCACGCCGACGGCCACGAATTTGAAGACCACAAGCTCGATTGTGGACAGCACTACCGCTGGAGCAGGAGCCCAGGTGGCCGTGGGGGGTGTAGGCGCTGCAGCAGGCGGTGGAGGCGTGGTGGTCTCCACAGGCAGCACGGGAACACAAACATTACAGTATACCACATGTAAGTGATCATCTTAACGCCATTATAAAATGTTTCCTAAACTGATTTGTCTACTTTAACCCTGCAGCTTACAGCGTGGCTTCAATTCAGGCGGGTGGAACTCTCAAGGCCAGCACAGCGGATGGCCCCAACACAGTCCAGATTCATGTGACCGGAGGAGCAGGAGCGAGCAATCCTGTTAGCGCACAGACTGTGTCAAGTAGCTCACAAACGGGCACAATCCGCCAGCGTACAATCAGCGGCACCCAGACAGTGGCCACTGCCGTGGGCAATTTAGCGACGATGTCCCAACAGCAACCAGTACAACAGCCGTCTTTGGCCACCGCCCAAACGCCTCCGTCGTCCGTTGTTGCCAACAGTATCCCAGTGGGTGGAACTACTCCGCCCCAGGGACAATCTGGCAATGCCACGCCACGCTTGAAAGTGGAGGATGCTTTGAGCTACCTGGACCAGGTTAAATACCAGTACGCGGACCAGCCTCAGATCTACAACAACTTTCTCGACATCATGAAGGAGTTCAAGTCGCACTGCATCGACACACCCGGAGTGATTGAGCGCGTCTCTACACTCTTCAAGGGACACACCGAGCTAATCTACGGCTTCAACATGTTCCTGCCGCCGGGATACAAGATCGAGATTCATTCAGATGCCCTCGGCTGCTCAGTGCCAGTGGTTTCGATGCCCTCACCAACGGGAGCGCCAACGAGCACGGGAACGGTGCACATGCTCACCGGAAACAGTCCGATGTCAGCTGCCGGACATATAACCATAAAGACGACCAATGCGGCAACCTTAACATCGGGAACAGGAGCTGGAGCAGTGGCTGCAGCGGCAGCAGTGGCTCAGATCCAATCTGCTGGAGCTGTAAATCTAATGACCCATGGTGGAGCATCGCTTACCCAGACCACTATCCATGCTCTGCAGCAGCAAGCAACGCCTCCCCAATCACAATCTCCTGGCGGTGGTCATGTCCACGTGAGTGTAACTAACTCACCGGCGCCAAGTGCGGTAGTGCCCGGCCAACAACCAGCAGGGATTTCCGTATCGGCGCACAATGTACCGCAGAATTACTCCAGGGATCGAGAAAGGGCCACCATAACGCCCACGGGCCAAGTGGCTGGAGCAGCGGGCAACGCAAATGCCGCCGCTAGTATTGTGGTTGGCGGACCTCCAACGCCGAATTCCCTGAGTGAGCTAAGTCCCCATGGAGGTGGGGCGGGAGCGGCCCAGCACAACCTGCATCATATTCAGCAGGCGCATCAATCAATTCTGCTTGGCGAGACCGGACAGCAAAATCAGCCGGTGGAGTTCAATCACGCCATAACCTATGTAAATAAGATCAAGGTAACGTCTAAACAACATCTTAAAACTATGAGGCTTACTTATGTTGTTTTTATCTCTCCCAAACAGAACCGTTTCCAAAACCAACCGGCCAAGTACAAGAAATTCCTGGAAATTCTGCATGCCTATCAAAAGGAGCAGAAGGTGATGAAGGAGGGCAGCCTAAACCAGGGTAAAATGCTCACCGAACAGGAAGTGTACACGCAAGTGGCCAAGCTCTTTGGACAGGATGAGGATTTGCTGAGAGAGTTCGGTCAATTTCTGCCCGATGCCACCAACCATCAGTCCGGACAGTACATGCCCAAGTCGGCGTCCGTGCATAACGATCATGGCAAGCGGCCTACGGCCACTTTAAGCGGTGGAGCGCACATCACCATGTCTACTGCATCGCCAGCACCAAGTGGTTCCCCTCTGCATTTGGGCGCTACGACTCTTCCGCAGATCGACAACAGTGCCCATGCAGCTGCCATTGGAAATCTGTCGGCGGTGAACACTAGTGTCAGCATTAAGACGTACAACAATAATCAGCAACAGCAGAATCATGTGATCGGTTCCGGCCTAAATGCGACGCGAAACGATGTCCTCTTCGAGAAGGACTATCACGCGGGACTGCAGCAGCAGGCGCATCAGCGAGGAGCTGGAGTTGGAGGCCATCATCATCTGGCCGGAACTCCAGCGGGCACCAATATCGGGCGGCCTGGTGTGGGAGCCAGTGTGATGGTGTCGTACGAAAAGGAGCACCGGAATAATCACCATGTGCAGAAGTACGTGGGTCACGCGCCAAATCCGAATCTTTCGCATGGCCACAATGCAAAGAAATCGCCCAGCTATGGCATCACATCGGTGATTGGTTCCATGCCGCACATGTCTGACAACTCCCTGGATCGTAGTTCCCCGGGCATTAGTTACGCAACACCGCCACTGCCCTCTGGTCACCATGGGCAGCATAATTCCGGTTCAGCTTCAAGGCGACCTGGTGATGATAGTTTAGCCGGACACTACGCTAGTGGAGCACCGCCTGCTAAGCGACCGAAGCCTTATTGTCGGGATGTAAGCTTCTCGGAAGCATCGAGCAAGTGCACCATCTCCGACGCCGCCTTCTTCGACAAGGTGCGCAAGGCGCTGAGAAATCCAGAGGTGTACGACAATTTCCTTCGATGCCTGACGTTGTTCAACCAGGAAATTGTCTCCAAAACGGAACTCCTTGGACTGGTATCCCCGTTCTTGATGAAGTTTCCCGACCTGCTGAGATGGTTCACCGACTTCCTGGGACCGCCAACCGGTCAATCGGCTGGTGGAATAATTGATGGCATGCCCTTGGCTGCTACGCAACGTCAGGGAGGCGGAAGCAGTAACAGTTCCCATGATCGAGGCAGTAGTCTCCAGAGTACCGCCGAGTACGTTCAGGATGTGGATCTGTCTTCGTGTAAGCGACTAGGTGCGTCCTATTGTGCGCTGCCCCAGTCCACAGTGCCCAAGAAATGCAGCGGACGGACCGCTCTCTGCCGGGAGGTACTCAACGACAAGTGGGTCTCCTTCCCGACGTGGGCCAGCGAGGACTCCACCTTCGTGACATCGCGGAAAACGCAGTTTGAAGAGACAATTTACAGGTGAGACCAGTTCTTTTTAAATTGTATAATCCCCATCCCTACACTAAAAACGTCCCTTGTCTAATCGAGACTATTCCTTTGGTACTTTTGTTTACTTTCTATTTACTTTTGATTTTCTATAGCTGCGGTTAAAAAAGCAGTAACGTTTAAAAAATCCTTTAAAAAAATGTATCTTAATTTATAAGCGTTTTATAATTTTCATTGAGTTTTAACCGCATCTATATTTTATTATCAACTACACATCTGTTGTTTTGTTTTGGATCTTCTGTTTCTTTGGCTTTCGTTTATTTCAATTAACCAATACGCACGCTCTAAACAAAAGGAATATTCACAGAACGGAGGACGAGCGCTTCGAGCTGGACCTAGTTATTGAGGTGAACAGCGCCACGATCCGGGTGCTGGAGAACGTCCAGAAGAAGATGTCGCGCATGTCCACCGAGGAGTTAGCCAAGTTCCACCTGGACGATCATCT